TCTAGATGTGTCTTCACGTGATTTGTCGCGATTTCTGGGGTCACATTGGCTGCGCGAAAGCTTCCGCTTTAGCTTCAGGAATGGACCATGATCCGCGCCACACCATGGGTCGATGGCGTAGTTGGTTATCGCACCTGTCTCACATACGATGATATGGTACACAGGAGGTCCTCAGTTCGAGCCTGGGTCGACTCATGCTCACTCTCAGAGCGTTTTTGCATCGTGTTGTGTGCTTATGGGAAGCTGTGGACCGGTAAATGGTGTGATAATTGATCATGCAATGAAAACACTGCGCTAGAGGAGATGAAATTCCGCATCCGGTTTCGCCAGTCTCCTGCGGAAGATGATTAATGATTCTTTATAAACATGTATGAATAGCTATTATTCGTTTTCTCCAGTCAATTTACATAAAAGTGATGAGATATTAATTAGTGATGTTCCTGGCCCGGCTTGGCCTGAAAGCCCCGGCTTTGGCCTGGCCTGAGGGGGCCTTGGCTTAGAAAAACATCAGGCCAAGCCCAAGCCCCCAATGGGGGCCTGGCTCTGGCTTGGCTTGGCTCAGGCCATGGCTTTCAGCAGACAAGATGAAGTTATATTTTTGAACTGATTCTTTCCATAAATACTCCAAATATACACTAGAATAATGGTAGTCCTCATGAAACATTGCATCTAAATGCTGATTGAGGGTCATGCTGAGTTTTGCCTTTTTCTTTATTCATCATATGTAGTTCTTATCTTATCTGTCTTTGGCATCGGTTGCGCAGACAAAGGTAAATTTGATCCAAATCTAGTAGAGGCCTTTATGATTAATTAAATTGAAGTAAGAATGGGCATTTCCATACCCAAAGAGAGTGAGTGCTAATTGCTGGGAGAAGAAAATTAAAAGTTGATCTGTCCTCCACCAAAAGCCTTGGCCTGGGCCCTTGGCTTTGGCTTTTCAACATTGTGGGCCAGGCCAAAGCCCTCACCAGGCCAGCACCTCTGGCTTGGCTTGGCCTGGCTCAAATGGGCTTGGCTTGGCCTGGCTTTTGGCCTGAAGCCAGGCCAGGCACATCACTAATATTAATTCTTCTCCAAGGAAAATCGATACGTTCCAGGACAGGCAACCAAGAATCACGAATATCTACTATTTCAGATTAAGAAGTACTGAAGCTCACGCAGGGTCATGGCCAAGGGTGTACACGTGTATCCTCTGGCTGCGGTCTTATATGGAACGAGAAGGTTTTGAGGGTACGAGAGACTGACAATCTGATCTTGATGGACAACCTTACACGGTTGATTAGCAATGACAGTGAGATTTGAATTTGTTTGTTCGAATGAGTCGTTCGGTTTTTCAAACGCCCTAGGTCTCATTCTCTTCCTTGAAGTGACTTGCGCAGCTTCATTGATGAGACACGTTTATTACGTGGCACGTGATAAACGCGTGGCCGCGTCAACTGACTCTTGGGCACCTGCTTGTGCTAAACTCAACCCCTCGGACCTGTCGACGTAATCCGCCGTCTCTCTTCACAAAGTCAGCATGACCTGGCTTGCTCCACATGAGACTGCTCTGATGCAATGCTTGTGGCTGACTAACACCATCCAAGATAGCCAATCTGTCAGCCATCTCTGCCGTATCAGTGCTGCATCACCCCTAAATCTTCTACTTCTTGGGCTATAACATGGGCAACGAGTCAACCGGTGCTGACAACAACGCCATGGACTCGAAGCGTCGCCCGTATTTTGGGATGACTGGCAAGCGGCTAAACGTCTGGATTACGATCGCTTGCACAACTGCGATGACGCTGTTTGGTAAGTAATCTCACGAGTGGAGATGAGATATTGGTGATTATCACAAATCTACAGGATACGACCAGGGCGTATTTGGTGGGATCATTGTGACTCCGGATTTCCTGAATACCATGGGTAATCCGAACCCGACTCTTCAAGGAACAATCGTTTCATTATACGACATTGGCTGGTAGGTCAAGTTCATGATAGTACCTATCCCAGCACATAGTAGTCGTTTTCTCATTACAGTTTCTTCGGCGCGATGTCTGCTCTGCTGTTTGGTACTACCTTTTCATCATTCTTTAATCCTGTGGCTGCTCTGACGGTAATGGTGATGTAGGGGAGAAGACAGGCAGGAAGAAGGCGTTTATTATCGGTGTGATTGTAATGTCCATTGGGTCAATTATCCAGGCTTGTGCATACTCGGTTCCACAAATGATCGTGGCTCGCTTGATCACAGGTTCTTCCTCTTGATTATTTTTCAATCTACAATTAAATTGAATAACCGTTTTTGAAGGGCTAGGAAATGGGTAAGTATCTCCAACATGAACGTTGTTACGGGCTGCAATCTTCACATGATCAGGATTAACACGGCAACTGCACCTGTCTGGCAAAGCGAGGTCTCAAAATCCTCAATGCGGGGCAAACTTGTCGTTCTATCTATGATGTACGTGTGTCTATCCAAAGTTTACAACGATCCCTTGACACATGTACGTTACTCAGCACAAACATAGCCGGTTTCTCGTTAAGTAACTGGATGACATACGGCTTTAGTTTTCTCAGTGGAAGCATCACTTGGCGATTCCCTATCGCCTTCCAACTCGTATTTTCATTTATCCTCCTCTCTACCGCTCCGTGGCTCCCAGAAAGTCCACGATGGCTTTTAGCACATGACCACTACGAAGAAGGCTTGCAAGTACTTGCGGCGCTGGAAGGCAATGGGGCAACTACCAAAGACGACATTATCATAGATCACGCTGAGGAGATTTTGGCCGCTGCTAGGTCGCAAAAGGCCGCAGCACAGAGCTGGTCGAATATACTCCGTGGCGGAGGAAGCAATGGGATGATACAGAGATTGCTACTTGGAGCGGGTATGTTTCCATTCCGGAGACAGTACGATATTCTAATTATGTACTGTACTTTTAGGGACGCAATGGATGCAACAACTTGCCGGAATCAACGTTACCAGCTATTAGTATGCCTGACCTCGTTTTCTATTATCACACATTTGTAATCCGTGTGATATAGCCTGCCCCTAGTACTCCAAAATTCTGTCGGTCTATCCAACAACCTCTCACGTCTCCTGGCAGCTTGCAACTCCGTCTCCTATCTTGGTTTCTCGTTCATCGGCCTCATCTTGATCGAGAAAGCAGGACGGCGAAAGATGATGATGTGGGGTGCCGCTGGACAATTCCTTTGTTACGCATTTATAGCAGGACTTCTCTCACATACTGATGATCCTGTACGTGGAAGGCAGTTCGGAGCTGGGGCGACGTCGTTCTTTTTCTTGTATTACGTCTTCTTTGGTATCTGCTGGCAGGTGAGCGCTTTGACTTTTGACTTGTATTCGTAAACCCGCTTTCAAATCTGAAGGGCATTCCTTGGTTATACCCCACTGAGATCAACAGCTTGTCGATGCGTACAAAAGGAGCTGCTCTTGGAACAGCCTCAAATTGGTATGGTGTTAGTTTCCTTCCATGAGCGCGGAGCTGACATACTGTATCCGACAGGATTTCGAACTACATTGTCGTTCAGATAACCCCCATCGGAATCGCGAATCTCGGGTGGAAATTCTACCTGATCTGGATGTCCTTTAATGCTCTATTTATACCTGTACGCCCACCTTCCAACTTCGACATTTTATCAGCTGATCCCAGGATTTAACCAGTTGGTCTGGCTAGTCTACCCTGAAACCGCCAACAGACATCTCGAAGATATAGACAAGCTCTATCGCGATAATAGTTCGATGATATTCGTGTATAGAGACAGGGAAGCAACGCAGGTTGAGCGGCCACAAAGGTTCATCGATGATGATCAAGAACGCCTTGAAATGGCGCGTCAACTGAAATCGAAGAAAGAAAATTGCTAGACATTCGGATTGAATTGTAGATGTTGATCAATAGACTTTACTTTTGTACTTCCACTCTGCTTAAGAAGAAATTCTTCTTGAGTAATGTGGTAACAGTGTTGAAAAGCGTAAATGACAAGATAGAATCTGAATACGGGACCAACAGAGCCGGCTCTGGCTAGTCACCCCGGGGCTAGTATCTAAAATGTTTGACAACAATGTTGTTGAGGTATCTTCGTCGTGATGTGGACGTCAATCAAGCATAGGGTATGCTAGGATCATCAAGTCGATAATTCAAGATACTTATAGGAAGTCCTTGGGCTTCCTCAAGGAAGGGCACAGGTTCTGGAAGGTGTTCTGCGCGGAAAATGACCATCTCTTGATAAATGCTCTCGTTATCTTCATTGTAGTTGGCGCCAGCGTGCTCCAGGACCTTCCTGATCCACAGATCCGGAGAATCTGCCATGTCCGAGCCGAGGATCAAGATCTGACGTGATTTGCCAAAAGGAACGCTGATGACGAAATATATCTCGGGATATCCTGTATTCTTGAGCAAGTGCCTTTGGGCTAAAACGGGGCGTCGAACGAACTCAGGAAATTCCTCTGGGCTATCCACGAAAATCACAACGGATGGGTTGCTATATTCGACATAGACGACAAGGTCTTCCCTTCCAGTTTCATAGGAAAGCTGCTTTTGAACCGCGAAGATTTGGGAAGCGTACTGTATGACGTCGTAATTAGCGCTAAATTGGATAAAATGACGATCGTGGTCTGAAATGGGCGCCAATCCTCCCTCTGAACCAATTTATCAGCTTTGTCAACGCTCTGATAATCAAAAGTATCATTTACTTTCTCGATCCTGGCGAAGTTCGTAGCAGTATGACTTGTGGCTCCCGAATTTCCAATCTTTCGTTTGACAGGCCTTGGAACAATATGGAGTAGTTTGGCACGCGCCGCATAGTTTGAAGTATCTCTTAGTTTCGTGATTTCTGCACTGATGGTCATCCCATTAGGTCTCCTAATTCTATGATGGACCACAGACATCGGACGTACGTTGGGAGCCGAACATGCCAAGTTATATTTGCCCATCTTATCAAAAGCAGCTTTGACTGCGACCCGACTATGAATGACAGCTTTGAAGTGTTTCCAAGATGACCAGAATTGTCCGTCTTTGGGTACTCGTAATTCCAACAGTGGTATGACTGAATCTTCCATCACTCTGTCCAGTTCCCTTGTGTACGAACGAAATATCAGAAACATCGAAAGAAATTGCACGGTAGCAATAAGTTCGTTTTCAAGCTTAGCAGGGGAGATCTTGGAAACAAAGCGTATCTCTGCAGCTGTTAGACCTGAAACA